TCATCTCTCCAAGCATCAGATGGTTGGGAATGGGTTTGGCTTGCACTGGGGCTGTGGGTGGCTGGTGGGGTGCTGGGTGCTTGGCCCCAGCCTCCAAATAGCCTGAACTAAAATGCACTGAGCAACAAAACAAGGCCTTTTATTCTAATACTTCTCTTACACTTTACTTTGTATATCAGACTGAGGAAAAAGCGTTAGTAGTCTTGAGCGTGAGGAATAGCAATTCTGTTACCATGCTGAATCATTGTGTCTGGAGACGCCTAAATTACTTCTGTATGATTAATACATTTAATCCAATTGATTAGTAGGTGAGGAGATGGACTTTGAAATAAAGTATATTTAACAGGTTCTTTAAAGGAAGGATTACAGCCTTTCAGTAGTGATGAGTTTTACGCTTGTCTATACATTGTTCTGATGGCAGGGGGTTCATGAAAGCAAGTAACCTAAAGGTACAAAGGCAAGCTATTGCAGAGACATGCTGAGTAGTCTCATTAAATGGACCAAAACAATTGAGAGAGGATATAAAAGAGCCTATCTGTTATATGATTTCCCACCCCAAGCTATTTCCAGTGTACAGAACAGGTGGAGAGGCTAAGAACGGTGCCTTTGGATATGACTGAGTCATGCAGGTAGTCCATTAAGGCTTGGCCTGCATCCAGTAGAGACATATGATGCTTTACTGGACCTATGCCACGAAGATGACTTTCTGGGTAAATCTTTGTCTAGTCCTGGTATTGATTCTCCTGCACAACTCATTTGTCTAGTAGTTTGCACAATAAAAAGATACCACTGTGGTGAAATGCTTAAAACAGTTACATGTTTACAGCATGAGAACTTCAGGAAACAACAGACTGAGAAAATAAAGGACCAAGAAATCAGTTCCAAGGTGTATTTCCTGAAGCAGACGGTCAGTAACTCCTGTGGGACAATTGGTCTGATACATGCAGTTGCTAATAATAAAGACAAAGTGAAGCTTGGTGAGTATGAATGTTCTGAAATGCTTGAATTGACATTTTTTTATGATGGGGGAAAGATTGAGTGGGTATGGGCTATAGGAGACACCTGGGGCTTTCATGCAAGCCAAGTTGAGGCATGCTGTACTGCTTCAGTGGGTACATGGGTCTTTCAGCTCTTGGAGGGGGGCATGTGGTCTCACTTTTTACCTGAATCACAGAAGGGAACGTACTTTGACTCCTCTTTGGTAGCTGCAGAGGTATCATCCTAGTGAGCGATGCAAGAGGAAAAGGGCATGTAGTAGGACTGGCCAAAATCTGTAATTAGGAAGTATCATGTTCAGAAGTAGCTATTGACATTGGTGTAGGTGATGTCAACTGAAGAGATAAAAGTTCTTCATGTCACTTAGTCTAATGTAAACAGCCTTGCTCAGGGTAGCCTATGAATCAGTCTAAAACATGTTTTCTTTTTGCTGGGAAAGCCGTATAGGATGATAAGGGTCATATAGGTCCTAAGGGTCTGTAAGTAGACTTTTCCTGCAGAGATAATAGTTTTGATGGTTCTCTTACAGAAAAGGGTGTAAAACTGGCTTAGGTAACTGGTGGCTGGAAACTCGTAGGAAACCGGATTACAAGTCCTTGTCAAAAAAGCATTGAGTCCAGGAAATAGTCTATTGTTCAAAGACTAGAGATCTGCGAAATGTAACTTACTTTCATTATTCCAAGAGAACTTGAACCCTTTGGGTAGGGTGGGATTCCTTTTTAAACAAAGGAAAACCCGTATGGAAGGCTAAATGAGAGTAGCTTTGCTTTACTCTTTTTGAGAGGATTTTCTGAAATAGCAGACTCTTGATGAGTGAAATGAATGATGCATGTAAGAGTAGAATTCAGTGCATCTTAGTACTGCACTAATTTATGTTCTGGAAAACCAAAGTAAGCCTGGCATGACAAGTGCTGTGTTCATTTGAAGGCAGGGAGACAACTCAATTTCATTTACCCATATTCTGTTAGTTCATACTTAAGTGTCCTCACAGCTGGCACCTTTCTTGAATTTCTTTAAAACAGGACTGAACACCTCTGCCATATGGGGGGGGGAAATCAGAAAAGCTAAATTCCATTTGAAAGTGAGTTCTAAGACAAGCATCCAGAGTACCCTGAAGCACCTGAACTCTGGCTCTGTGTGTAGATTAATAGCTTCTGGATAAATAGCTTGCTTCAAGTGCTAGTTATAATATGCTTATGCAGGGGATGGTTCCAGGCAGAATGCAATTACTCCTAGTTAGTGCAACAAGCATTGATTACTGAGGGCTGCGTCTGAACTGTAACTGATGCTGTACCTATACTGAACAAAATCTTTGATCATCTTGTGCAGGTGAGGGGTCTGCCCTGAAGAAGTTTCTTGATGAAACAGCTGATCTGTCTCCTGAAGAGAGAGCTAAGCATTTTGCAAATAATAAGGTATATAAACTACACAAACTGCTGACAGCTATCAGCACTTAAGGATGTAGTAACCTATATCTGCTTTCTCTTAAGGCTATACAAGAAGTCCACAATTCGGTCGCACAAGAAGGACAATGTCGGGTAAGATACAAATGTGTAAAATCTTGGGAGAAGGGGTTAATGAAGGTGGTAGAGCATTGCAATTTTTTGTCTGGCAGATAGCTGTTACAGCTCATGTGGAAAGAGAAATGAGTGACTCATGGGTGAATGCTTGTGTAGGATTTCTTCCTGAAACATGGATTGAAAATTTGGTTTCAGACCCAGTCTGAAAATGTGACTGTACATTAGGATTTTTGATGCTTGGCCTTGTAGAGGTCTTGCAGAGACCTCTTCAGCTGAACTTAAGTTTTTAGTCATTTGCTGTTGCTTTGTTGTGACATCTCCTCTGTCCTGTAGTCACAAGTACTTCACAGTACTAGGCTTTTTTCAATCTAACAAATGTATCTAATGGTCTCTCTTAAGGTTGAGGACAACAGTTTGAACTTCCACTTTATCCTGTTTGTCAATGTGGATGGACATCTGTATGAATTGGGTAAGGTCCTGAGAACTCTCTGTAGTTGGACTGGGCCTGCTTTACACTGTACAGCAGCACTGGGGGCTCAGGCTAGATACTTGGAGCTGGTTAAGCTGTTCACTGAGCCTCTCAAAGCCAATACATAGTTTGTACCTTCACTTGAAGATTTTAACTGAAGATGGGTTGCACTGAAGGCCTAGGCCCTCTTGTAAAGCATGTAATCTCCTGTAAAGGTGGGAATACTTAGTCCCCTGCTTACTCAAGCTATGTATTGACAATTTATTCTGACCTCCCAAGTATCTTCATGTGTGTACTTGTTTCTTGGGCCCACTAAGCTCAGTTTTGCTAATTCAGAAGAAGTATTAAGTACACCGAGTGATTGGACTTTGTTTCACAGATGGGCGTATGCCATTTCCTGTAAACCATGGCACAAGCTCAGATGACTTGCTATTGAAGGTAAGACTTCTCCCTACCTGCTTGTTTCCCTGAAACCAAGGCTTATAAAAGGATGAGAGGCATGCATTCAGTGTATAGTGGCTGTACGTACTTGCTGTACAAGTTGGTGCTTCTTACACCGTGGTAACAAGGTAGTAGTGTGTTGCAGAGCTAGATAGCTGTTAAGTGTATTTATTAGCTGGTGCTACGAGACCTTGTAACTTAGTTGGTGGGACACAGAGAGGAGCTGCAAAGACTTGGTCTCTATAGCAAGTGTATTCTGATAGTCTAAACATTTTATTTTTCTTCCAAGGATTCTGCTAAGATCTGTAGACAATTTACAGAACGTGAAAAAGGAGAAGTTCGTTTTTCTGCTGTGGCTTTCTGCAAGTCTGCCTGAGACTCTGAAGAGATGCAAGGAAAGCAGTCTAATAGCACACCAGTAAATGCAGTCTAAACTCCAGTGCTTCAGTACTTGTTAAATACAGCTGTTCTGGTAACTTAAATTGTTTCCACCTTTTGCTATACACAGGAGCAACATTGGCTGAGCTTATGCTAAAGGATGAGCTCAAGTTTTAATGTGAACAGTTCGGACACATCAGATGTCTTTAGACTCTTTTTTCACATGTTAAGTAGAAAATGCTTAACAGGGCTTGTTTAATCTGTGTCATGTTAATTGAGCTGTTGGTTGGTATTTCCTTGTCCTTAATGAGAATAAATTTGTTCTGCTGGAAGACTAAATGGACTAAAGTGATCACTGTAACTTTCTCCAAAAGGAGTTAAGTGTGGTATCCTCTATAAACCTTGTTTTGAAAGGACCCTCAAAGCTCTCCTCTGAGCAAAAAGTTAATGTCTGCCTCAGGTGCTTTTTCTGGTGTCGTGAAGGCCTCCAAGGATGGAGAGATGCACCATTGTCTGCATAGCATATTCCAGTGCTGCACTACCCTTCTGGTAAAGCTTTTTCTAATGTCCAGTCTGAATCTTAAGCTGCAATTCGCCACCCTGAATACATTTATTTTAGAGGTGAAGGTGCGATAAAGGAACACTAAAATGTCAACTTGAAGGTGCTCTTAAACAGAGACTATTTGTATTAATGCTACAAGCAACAGAATACCCACTGAATTGGTTGGTGTTGTGTTTCCTTATAGGAGACTGTATTAGAACAGGTTTTTACCTACCTGTGGTTAAAAGAAATCTGCTGGCTAATGCTGAACACAATCCTCAGCTAGCCAGTGTGTGCTTATTAACTTGTGATTGTGTTAGGAAGGCCTTGGAAGAGGCTATACTACCTCTCCCTTCCAAAATCACCTAATGTGGTTTAACCCTAGTTCCCAACTAAACACCACACAGCTGCTTGCTCACTACCCTCCTCTGCCCGGGTGGGAGAATTGGAAGAGTAAGAGTGAGAACACTTGTGGGTTGAGATAAGAACAGTTTAATAATTGAAATAAAATAATAAATTGTAATGAAGAGGAAAATAACAAAAAGAGAGAGAAATAGAACCCAAGAAAGACAAGTGATGCAAATGAAAAGCAATTGCTCACTGCCAACTGACCCATGCCCAGCCAGTCCCTGAGCAGCGGTGCCCTGGCCAGCTTTCTCTAGTTTATATACTGAGCATGATGTCATATGGTATGGAATATCCTT